CCGCTTATATTTATATTTTTGCCACTGAAAAACTAATGTAACATTAATAAACTAGGCCTAACCTACAACCTTTTTTGCTGCGTCTCCACGGTGTCTTCGTGCCTTCATTGTTCGGATCTCCTTCTGAAAAATGTCTTCGTAACTTGAATCTTCATAATTCTGCTTCCACCAGTAGTCATCGTATCTTCATCTTTAATCTTCTGCATTCTATTGTATCTTAATATTTCCATTTATAGTTCTTTTCTTGAAAAATGTCTTCATAACTTCAATCTCTACGATTCTGTCTTCAAAAATCTTCTTCGCATCTTGAATCTTTATATTTCTGTCAATGAAAAGCTAATGTAATATTAAAATTAACTAGGCCTAACTTACAACCTTCATTTTGCATCTCCTAGCTGTCTTCGTGCCTTCAATGTTAAGATCTCCTTCTGAAAAATATCTTCGTAACTCGAATCTTCATATTCTGCTTCCAAAAGTAGTCTTCGTTTCTTCATCTTTATTCTTCTGCATTCATCTTCATATTTTCATTTTTTAGTTCTTTTCTTGAAAAATGACTTTATATCTTTAATCTCTATAGTTCTGTTTTTAAAATTCTTCTTGAAGAGTATCTCCATATCCACAATCTTGATAGTTCTGCCAGTGGAAATCAACCTCAATCTTTCTAGTTCTGCGTCTGAAAAGCTAATAATAACATTAATTTAACTAGTTCTAGTTTTTAAACTGAAATTCCGCCAATGGCTGGAATTAGTTCAAATTAATTTATGCCAAAAAAAAAAAGCCATGGCATGCCCTGTTATATTTGTCTTTCCATTGTCGCTCTCATAAACTATATCTTCCTTTCCTGTTGAAAATATCTTTAAGACATGACATGGGATAAATGATTATGACAAAACGGATAGCTAAATAAAGATATAGCATGATAGATAAAATAATTCATTTCTACATATAATATATCAATAATAAACATAAACAGTGGACATAAAAATAGAAATATGATTGTCTTCAGAAATTCGTTCACAAACATCAAATGACTTTTTATGCAATTTCCGAAGTAGGCTGGAATTGCCATCCTAAACGGGCTGTCAAACACCCACATTTGTATATTGGGGCACGTATAAAGGAATGCTTGTCACTTAATTTTTGATTTAAAAAAAGAAGGCAACGACATTCAACCGTAATGTCACGTTTTATGCTAATGATTTGAAAATAAAAATGAAAGGACCTCTGACCATCCAATTACCAGAATCTTTGAATATTTTACATCAGAATTGACAAAACCAAAATCGCCTAATTATGATTGCAATGCTGTGTTTACCTCTCCCTCCCAGGGTCCACCACCATTTTCCAGAACCCCCAACCCCCTCCCTACCCCTGTATATGTAAGTGTAATTTGTAATGTTTTTGAAGAAGTTGACGTTGAAGATGAGACAAAACCATGCCGGCCTGGTTTGTCACAAGATTTCTCACGTTGAATAAGCAGTGTTGATAAGAAGACATGAAGTAAGAAAAAGATTTGTGTTATGGCCGCATTGACAACCATAGATAGACTATCTGGTTTTTGCCACAAACTGGTAACAAAATATTGTTAGAATCTTTAATTTAACACACAAATGATATATATATATTGAAATAATATATATATATAACATATTTTGTATAACAATTCGTCAGGACAGCATTGGTATAATTTAGATATGACAAAAATGTCGATCGCCGTTGCCTTTACGCCCAAGTATTAGACTTTTGCAAATATAAATATTTAAAACTAGAATGATTGAAAGAAAATTTATGCAAATATAAACAATACTGTGTTATGATAAAAACTCCACAACGAAATTTTATGAAATTCATTAATGCAATATATTTCAATGAAATAATTTCAATGAAATAATTATATTTCAATGCAATATATATCATATTCATCTTGCTATGACGTCAAATGTGGGAATTGTATTGTAAAGTAATAAACACAATTGCTTTGATTTGTAATCAAGAATCTGTTTGTAATCATCACACAAACAGTTAATTTTTGATGGGTCGACCCATGTTAAAGCTTTGAATATAATCCGTTTGTATGCATACAGGATCAATGTATGTCACCGAGTAGAATAAAACAGTCTCTTTTTATATTAAAAGTCTTTTTCACTTAAGTGTTGTTCAATGCATTTCTTTCATGAGCCAATCTTAGTTATCTTTGATGAAACTCACATTTATATTTGAATACTTGATGTATTTAAAACTTTTATTTTTTTTCTGTGCACAGAGAATGTCGTCAAGATTCCATTTCCATAAGTGAGGAAACCTGAAAAATTATATATATTCAAATAATCATGACGCCGAAGGTATGGAATTCTCTTAGGAATCGTAGTAGCATTACGAATAAATAATAATAAGCGAAAAAATAGTCTCAGCTTATAAATTGATAACCTTCGATCGCATCTGTGTTTCTTTTGGAGTAAAAATATACAATGGGTAGGGCTGAGCATTTCGTATCTAATAGTAAATTATTCGAAACGGTGAGAAAAAAATTTTCGAATTGCTGCCATCTTTTTTCCTTCCTTTCTTTTATTCAAGCCATGTTTTTTTCGAAGCAATTCAGATCGGACTATTTTTCTGTAGTCTAATATTGATGAAATTTTTATCATGTGTGAACGCTCAACAATCTGTCTAAGACTTAGGCCTGCCCAACGTTTTTCGTCTCGCGGGCCACTTTTACGTTACAAAATTCGTTGCGGGCCGCAAACGTTTGTACAAGACATTAATACCAGCTAATTCCTGATTTCGGTGGAGGTAAATTTACATAATAAATAAAAGGCAAGTTAACGAACTTAAAATCAATCAATTTAATAATTGCTTTCTTGTTACTGAGTAGGTACTGGCAAATTATTCGATTATCAAGTCTAATATTAGAATAGCAGGCTACTATTCGAATATCTGGTAACAGGGGGCGTGAACATGACATTTGCGGTTTTTTGACGACCACACAAGAAAACACACATCACGTCGAAATTGAGTGTTATATTTGCGTTATAGTGTTTTATTCATTCATTTTCTGTTAGCTGGAAACTGCCTCAATGTTTAAATTAGCAAAATGTGCGCCAATGTCGCGGGAATATAAAGTTTAAGTGGGTCGTTTCGTAAAATTTGAAACACAATTACTGAAGTAACATTACAAAGATTTCTGAACGAATAGCGTATATATACTGATTTGTGACCAATAGGCAGCAATGCAATTAAGTCAGTTTCATCAGCATTATTGACGGACACGCAGTGACGACATTTCCGAAATCTTATTTAGCGCAAACATTAGATAAAAAAAATACGAACATAAAAGGACGAGTCCCGGGGCTAGTACCAAAGATATTGTTGACTTTTTATTTTACGTTGGCGATAAATACGATCAAATCAGACAGGCAGGAAAACAATCAGAATAAAATTAATTTGCAAATTTAGGTTCTAAATTAATTCCTGTACTTGCGCTCAGCGTTCGTCCTCAATAATCGCACAATATCTTTCGAGTCTGTCGAACAGAATGCACAACTCTGCGAGAAATAAAAAAAACTGACGTCGATGTCCACCATGGTGCAAGCCTTGACACATACGTAATAATAAGAACCGCCATTTGAATGTAGATAGATAGCAGGAATGATCACACCAAAAACACGAAACATACTTGAGCCTATATACTGAAATATAACTTGGTAAAAACATAAAGAGGGTGGGCCACACGAGATTCATTGTGTTATTGGCAGGATAACTTGCGAGCGAGAAATATGTATTAGCCCATGACTGATGTGTATTAGCCTATTATTGCATCACAATATCGGTACTCTTGCCGAAGGTGGTTACTCCCACCCGTCACTTTCTCCCACCGATCTTTCTTCACCGAATCACCCTTCGCGGAGAAGATGGGGTAGAAAGAAAAGGGAGAGATAGAGAGACTTCGCGTCTAACGTTAAGAGCTCTTTATACTTCGCTTGACAAATTTTTAATAAATGATCACCAATGGTAATATTAGGGGTAAATCTAGAAATTGTGTATGGTAAATGAGTAAATAATACAAAAAAGGTTAAGAACCACTAGTTTAAATCATTAGCGAATTCATCGGTAACAGAGAGACAACTGCTAAGCACATCTGTCGCAAACAAAACTTCCATGTAAGTCAGTTGCGCAGCGTACTTCTTCGCGTAAAAGGCATAGCCGTGCGCATTTGTGTAAAACCTTTCACCTAACCAGACAATGACTGATACATACAGGTATCGATATTAGTTACTACCAACGATTAACGACGTTTTCATATATTACAATAACGCCAATAGGAATGATAACACCGAAGATTATTTTTTTGCGATGGTACACGAAATACTTGGATGATATTCAAAAAAAAAATACGTGAATTTGAAAATAAAGGAATGATTGTCGTGGAAAGTGCGTCGCGAAATAACAACCCATTTAATAAATAAATTTTATTCGACCACATCAACCTGAAATTCTGGAAATTTATGTTAAATTTATTTAAGTTGTTGAAGTACGCATTATCATATATCTTGTCGCGATATATATTCTTTCATGTGCACAAGTCTCACATGTAGCGCCGGTTAGTCATGACATGTAAAACTCCCTATTTGTTTTTTCCAATTGCAATGAAATCAAATTCGTTTTCCGTGCATCATTGCTCGTATTTTTAATAGTAATTGCGTCCCGGGTTTGTAAAGTTTGAAAACCAACAAACAGGAAATACCTTATTCTAAAACGCAATTTAAATTCAGTCGGAAATAAATTGCGCCAAGGATGCCATACAGAAAAAAAAAGAATTTAGTCGCGAGAGTTACATTAGATCACTGTAAAACGACGTCAAGGTAGATCAAACAAATTTAAAAATAAAACAAAACAGGGGTGAAGACTGAAAGTAACGACAAATATCCCACATTTTAAACTACGTACGATTGGCAGCATTTTACTAGCAGTTTCATGCATGACCCGCGTATTAAAATTGATTATCGAAAATTAAAAGTTGGATTGGCGCTTCCGAGAGACCATACGTGGTATTTAACACGTACAAGCTATATCCAGAAAATAAATGACAAGTCATATCCTTCCAATGTACTTTTAATTAGCTCCTTAGTGATCCCTCTCTTTCTTGACCAAGTAATGTTTCGAAAATTTAAACTTTTCACTTAGCCACGCTTGACGGTTGCTGTTTATTAAAGTCATCTTGTCTTAAGACCACGCAGAAATGCTTTATTGCCGAATTATTTAATCACTATTTAAAATCAACATTCAGGATTAACACCTTCGCAGATTTGCGAGATTTATCTATAAAAGATTACAGACACCATAAAAAAGTATATTGAAGTTGATTATCATTTATATTAAATATCTGCATTCCGGTATTGATAATAATATTACTTTTCGCTTGAAATTGGCGAGGTAAATTTATGAATGTTGATAGGTGATATCAAGTCAACGCAAATGTTAATTTGGGTTTTAAAATTACAGCTGTTGCGTATGTGAGCGCACGGGTAAACGCCAAATATAGAACTTCGCTCTCCGACGATCGACAAGAATTCATAATTGCGAAAAAAAAGTGTGGGAATATAGATTGCCAAATACAGCATATAGACGCCAAAACGATTTGGATGACAAAAACAATTGGCGATCATAACAAAATTAACCAAAAAAACGGCTTTATTGCCGATTTTTAATGTTTCGACCTACGTTTTAGACTCCTGTTGTGTATAAAAAAATATTTGTTATTCGACTATCCGGTATTCATTAGAAATAACCAATTGAAAAAAAAAAAATATTAATTTTATCCAACCCTACTCGAATATCAATGATAGATGTAGTTGCGTTCGATCGCAAAATTCGTGGGAACGCCATGTGCATTTGCGGATAAAATGAAATGACTGTTAATACGACATACGTGTTTTGTGAATTTGCTGATTTTGCAAATCTGTGAGATGCTGCTAAAAGTTGCTTCTAATTCAAAAAAATAATGGTCATTACTAAACAAAATATCAGAACTTTCTGAATGGCTCCAAGAAGTTAGAAGTACACTACGAAGAGAACAAAGACCTGTCGAACCAGCACTAGAAAATCACGCACTATGGTCAAAATTCATCGATGTCCTTGGTAGTCACATGACCAATCTCGTTCAAAAAAACGCACTGCGTAATATTCCAACATCTTGTTTCAAAGACACCGCTGAGCGTTTTTGCCGGAGAAAGCGGAATTGGTGGGCTTGTATAATAATCACACTATAAAATCTTTTTTGCAATTAATGCGAAAGCTTTCTCTCCTGCATGCACCACATAGGTTAGAATTCCAGCAAATATCGTTATGTAATGCAAAATTGGGTTACAAAAGTACTAGTAAGCAACTTATTTGTCAATCTCGCAAGTAAATATTTATCAACTGTGAATTTTTGCCCTTCAAAATTGAAAAAAGGTGCTATTTCGCAAGCCCTAAAAATATAAATTCGCAATTTTCGCGAAAAAAAAGTGCGCTAATAGTAAACACCGGTGGATACCTATTTCAAAAACAAATTTCTACAAATATAAGTTGATAGAACAACTTTCAAGGTATTCTCTAATTCCTCAAATTTTCACTGAAAGCTGCTTCAAAAATTAATTAAAACATCTTCTATTTAATTTTTTTTACAAAAATGATTGATTATTTTCTGTTCGATTAATGTAAAATTGATATGTAAAATTCTGAGATTTTATCTGTAATAAGAGGGCATTGTTTCTTTGAACAAAATATTTTCAAATTTCTAAGGTAACCTTTCTGAGTTTATTTTTCGAAAATAATTTTTCATCTCTCTTATATGTCTATTTTTCAAAAGTATACAGGCTTTCAAAATAGTTTACGGTTTTGTGATATCAGTCTAAAACTGGTTTTCTTGTATTATTTCGTTGACAACTTTATACAGTATTAACATTTGAAATCGTTTTGGACACGGAGTGCCAATATACACATAGAATATTTGCGAAAAAAGCTATGTTACACAACTTGTCACATATTCTCAAATTATCCAATCCCAATGTTTTTTGTACGCTGCTCCTAAAATTTCGATAAATATATTTTCAAATTTGTCATTTTACGATGCTTCAATATTTGTAAAAAAACTTTTATTGATATTGTTTACTCGATGTACCATGTTTGCCTTTTATTGACAAAGGTAGAAAATTAGAACAGAGAATATTTAAATTATAAATAAGAATACTTCTAACAGTTTCAAGTTAACTTTCCTCGAATATTGCTATTTTATATTATGCGCTTCTTCAAAGTTGAAAACTGTTTTTTCTACATTCAAGCGTAAGCTAATTCAAATATATGCATCAACACCTGACATTTTTTACAGCATACAATGTCAATGAAGACTTGAGTTTTATTATTTATTACATGCTTACATGTCTAGTTAATGGTTGGGCGTTAATTTGTAACTGATTATATACGGATTTAACGTTTTATTATGCACTAACTACTACATAACGCGACATTTTGAAATAACATATATATAAATTATATGTCTAACCTGCATCATTCAAAAATCCCAAATGTTTCTGAGTGGCAGAGTTTAATTTAATATATCAATTTTATATGCTTCGTTAAATTCAAATTCACATATTCAAAAGATTTCATCACTTACTTGCCTCTTTGGATAGGCTCCCAGCTCACTTGGTGATGCAATGCCAGACCTTTGGCATTGTCGCATTTTTTAATGCAATGATAAATTGCCTCGCCAACTTTCAAGCAGTGTTTTCAGAAAGCTGAAAATAAATGTAATATGTGAAATTATGTGGTGTAAGCCAATTGCTTCTAATTTCGATTTGCATACAATGCAACTGGGCTAACTATGTCACCATCAAGTTGAGGATATATTTCACAGAGAATGCTGCTCGACAGTGGTACAGAAAAGAGAATCTCAATGTAAAATAATCTGAATTAGAATCTTGTAGTTGATTTCAGAATTCAATTTTAGGATATCAACTTTGCTACTTGCTCGTAACAACCTTTCTAGCAAAGATTAGATTAGTTGACAACCTATTTGAAATAGTTACCTACATGAAATATGCAGATTTTTTGATATTTTCGTAATCTTTTATAAAACTCACGCAAATTATAATTTATTTGTATTGGAAAATGGCGAACAATGAAGTGAAAGAACGTAAAATGTGTCACAAGAGATAGTGGTGAAGATTTTAACCATTTGCAAAGACGCTATATATCAAACATTTTAACAGTTTTTCAAATTTTCTAATTTTCATTGTTTGCCACTTTGAAAATGGAAAAATAAAATATTTTTTATTCAAATGATTGATACATTCTTAAGATTACATTTGTTCCTTATAAAGGTATAAGTATACATATTCACATTTTGCACTAGTAGTTAGTTGACAACAGTAGCAATGAAATATGATCACGTGGAATGACAACATAAAATGTCAATGAAGAATTCTAACAATAGCGAGATGAATTTACTCATTCAAATTGTAACACATATATAACCTTATAAACTTACAACACAATTCAGAAATTTTATTTTTGCAAATTACTAAAATTTCAAAATACCTACAAAATTCAATATATTCAACTATATACAATGTGTATAGTTCTCGATGCATTGATCAATTGACATATAGTATCAACATTTGACATCGTTTTCAATACAGAATGTCGATGCAGTCTTCGAAAACTTGCGACAAAGATAGATTTTGCAACTTTTTAGCGTTTTGGTTGTACGCTGTATATAAATGGGGAAAACTTGTTTGATTTTTTAAAAAATATTTCTATTTTAAAATAAAGTTTTAAGATAATATTTTTTCCTAATTTCTAATAAAATCATGAGATAACTAGAATTTATCTAGGAACACCCGAAATCTTTCACAGCATGCAATGACAATGAAGACTGGGAACATTTGCAAAAGAGCTGAAGTTCCCATTTTTTTTCGAATTTTCGATTATTCGTTGAAAAGTACGACTTTGTGTATGAAGCATTAACATATAAACTCATTTTTACCATACAATACCAATATAAAGCTAGTTTTTTTTTATCAAGTTTGTAAAAAAATTAGATATTTTCTAATTTTTTCAAAATCGTTTAGAATAGAATGACAATAAAGACTTAGGATAGACCTTGTATGTAAAAACACTGGATTTGAAAACTTCACAAATATTTTGAATCCAATTGTACGCTTTTCAAGTGTGTAAAATATATATACAATTTTAAATTTTTTTAAAGTTAATATTTACAATTTCAAGTAAATCATCATAAGTTAAAACTTCAAAAATGAGATTTAAATTTCGCTTTTTTATATTTTCCACAAAATAATTGACATCTGAAAACAATTATCAATTTATCACTTATGTTAAAATATTAGATAAATCTGTAACCTTTTAAAAAAGTAGAAGTGATCAGTTTTAGTTGCATATAAAAATAGAAACTGTAAATTATGAGATCCAATTCAAGAGATGCTTTTCTGAGGAAGTCTACCTTTGGTCGGACCAAAGGTTACTAAAATACATTTGTGTTAAGGTGCAGCAGGATACGCATACGGATCCACTAGCATACATGAATAGAGGAAGAATAGGAGTTAGATTTGCGCAACACAATTCAAAGTTCCAAAGTAAAGTATGGCACTTTTTTGAAATTCAACAATGGCGACAAATTTGAACATCGATCGCCAAACTTCGTATACTCGCCGGCCAATATATACATTTACTCCACTTGCGACAATTGCAACAATAAACTTCAAATTATGGTGCCCGCGCACCTATATATATTCTATCAAACAATACACTGTTTTTATTTACTTTCAATCAATGTTTGAGATGACGTTTCGTTTCTTTGACATGGTCGAAGCGTTGAAATCAAATGGCAACTAGGCTGCCCCGCACTACGTCGTCCAAATGACAATCTGACAAGCGAGTTCGCAATTTATTCTTAGTGTAATGCAATTTAGATAGAGCTGCTCATATTAATATGTATTTCCGACGTGCACATTGCACGTTTTCACGATGGCATAGATGAGCAGTGGCGCAGCAGGAGAAACAATTTCCGTCCAAGCACGGCCCTCATCACAAATTTCCCTTTGTGCCCGGACGTTTCCCATAATTTTAAAATGCAAAATGAACTCCACTTATGAGTACAACAAACATCAAGTAAACCACATACCACTAACGCTACTAACTACAAAAGCGCTTTACGGCAGCACTTGTTACCAGTGAAAAAATATATCCATTTTGAGACGATAATAAATTTATAACAAATTTGTTTTATGCAATAAAAGTCGGGACATTCGAAGGTCACAGAAATTAGTTCCCGGGCTGCAATTTCAACCTTCGAATTAGAACGTCAAAATTGGGATGGCAATTAACACTATTCTCGAACGCTCGATTTAACAACTAAAACAAGTGACATTAGTTTTCTTGGCTACTCAGTGATTACGCTGGCTGACAAATGAGTAGCAAATTTTCTAGGTTCCATTACATGAACCCACGTACATCTGAACCCACGACAATTGCACCTGCATACTATTGCACCTATGGAAATTTTTTTGTTTCACGGATATTTGAACCCATTCTAACCCTAACCCATGGGGTTTAGCACCCGCATATAGATTGAGCCCGCGGATATACACATGGGGTCAAATGTACGGTCACCAATTTTCTCGCAGAAAACAACTGCGCGGTCCGACGTCGAAACTAGGTCCAGCGGTTGGAAAGCACTGCTCTACACGACTTTTTGAAATATTATATATATGTGTGTGTTTACCCTGCATCTTCAAATATACACAACCTATTCTGGGTTAAATATGATATACCTATTTTTGCGCTTCAGAATTATGTGTAGCATTACGGAGGTAACTAATTTTGATCGCCTACTTTACATCAAGTTATGTAAAGGACTGGAACCTATGAGCAGGGGATGTATTATCTTGGGTTAACACAACACAAACGGTCCCCAAACTCGTAATAAAACTAAAATAGAAAAAATCGAAATAAAATTATTAACTAACACTAACCTTGCACACATACTACGGGATTACTAATATTTTATACCTAATTAGATTTATATTAAAAACTTCCGAAGATTTTCATTACACACTTAGATCTATACAAACGAAAAACGCTTCAATAGGCTTACAGTAAACATAAATAAAGATAGCTATCACTGATTTTTTTCCGTTTATTTTCAAATACGTCGCAAATTTTTCAAAAAATTAAAAACATTCATGATTCTGGCTAATAAATTATTTACTAGTGTGTTATATTTCGCTTTATTCCGCAAGTGTGCAAGTACTCTAAACATTAGTCGTCAGATGTCAGTCCCCGACTTCAAATTGCACAAATTACAAATATCACCATATTAATGACCAAACTGAAAGTATTTATATAACAGAACATAACATAGGTACACGCTCTTACACCAGTATTGCATAATTTACCCATTGAGCGAATAAGTCAACAAGGTCAAGGAAAGGCTTGGTCAAGAAACTGCTTTCAGTGAGAAAAAAACAGATTTAATGCGACGACTACCTTTGCTTTTTGGCAACCAGATCTTCGATGTCTGGTGAAATAACAAAGAACTCTGCGGTATTGGTTCCAGTTGAAATATGGGCTAACCGATAACAAGAGAGCTATGCTGAAATATATAGACACGGCGAGTAAATCGAAATATTTTATTATCAATTCCCTGGAAATCTTGCGCGGTAACTTACCAGTACCTGTAGGCCTATCAGGTTAACAACAACGGTACAGCGACATACCAAGCCTATCCAGTAGGAATGTTACAAAACGCGCATTTTCTTGCCAAAACATGTAGGCTACGTATCACTACGTATCTTCAAGATACCGTTACGCTTTTAAAAACAACTGCTGATTGCCCGCGGAAGCTTGTGTTTATATCAAATCTTGATATAATTCAGACTCAATACAGGGCTATAATCTCATTATTGAATTTTTCTTACAGTGCAAATATTTCCTACCGTGTGGAGATTTTAAATTTAACTTTTGAACGTGTTACGAATTAATGATCCTTCTAATGACATCTATCAGATTTTTGTTACCACGCGTGTTTTTTCTTGAAACTTAGCAATTTATATGAAGCCTATTTAATTAGAACTTTGTTAATTCAACCGGAACGAATCACTGTGGAGCTAACATTCCAACGCTGAATTTGCGACAATCCGCAGGCCGTCTCGATAACCGTTGCCAGAACAGCTTTCTGCAAGAGTCTCGACATTGTGATACAATAATGGGCTAATACACATCATCATATCCAATAATAGGCTAAAAATACATATTTCCCGCAAGTTAGCCTATCAATAACACAATGTTGCTAACATCAAAACATGTGAATAGATGCGTTTTTTTTTATTCCAAATCTTTTTTTCAAACTAACGAAATTTACCCCTAAGAATGACAAAACTTTACCCCAGGTTAAGAACTGCTGAATTAATCAAAATAAAATGCTACTTAGAATAACGAAGATTTTGCTATCAAGTGAAGAAGGAAATACAGATATCATACCGTGTTTCCCGAAACTAAGATTGGATTTTATTTAGGGTGACCATGTTTGCGAACCCTAAATGAAGGATGCTTTGTTTGATAGAACCATATTTTTCCAGTGCCTGTGATATACAATACACATTGTACTAAATTCTCTAGGATTAAGTATAGTATATGAAATAATGCATTTTTGTCTTATCAACGTGCAATAGTAAGTTAAGCTTGCCTTTAATAATATGAAAGTAATGCGCTACGCTTCGCTATCAGTCGACCTTATCCAAAGCATAGATACTTTTTCTTCAGTTCCTGGGTTGAAAGGTTTACCTTTTTGGCATAATTTATTGGGTCTACTGAGTAATTTTCTGCCAAAATCGAAACTTTATTTAAATAACTGGAATAAGGTGTTGCGCACGCAAAAATGTAAAGCCCAAAGGTTGATCATAATAACCCAAGATATTTTGTGCTCAAAGCAGGAAGCATCCGAAACTTCTGAAGCGTGCAACATCTGTGACGATATTTGTTATCAAGGAAGTGCAAAGAAATCAAAATATAACAGTCATTGACATGTCCAGTAAAACTACAACCAGCTAAGCTATTTAACGAGTTGTTTAAACTCCCAGGATTTTATAACTTCGATGAAGTATTGTAATTTTGATTTATTTTCTCAATTAGTAGGCTGGGTACTAAAAATATTACACTATATAGAACTGACTTCTGACGAACCCCAGGTGTTACGATATGACGTAATATACCCTATAGCGCCACCCATGTTTCATGTCCTTGTAAAACGTGGTAGTCTTATTCCACTGCGCGTGCTTTCTATGTTTATTGTTAATATAAGTTGGTGATGTCGAGTCATGTGTTGAGAACCCATAAAGCTAGATAGAGAACGAAACATGGTGTCAGAAGCGGTGACGGATCAACAATAAGCGCTGGACTCGATGAAGAAGCTTTAGATAAACACTTCGAACCTACTAGAAATGTTGTACATGAAAAACCTGTTTTTTATACATGCGACCAGAGACTAGATAAATCAATTGATGATTATGTCACTAAACTGTGCCAACGTGTAAATTTGGACCAATGACCGACCAACTAATAAGAGAAAGAAATATGTTGGGTAGCAAAGATAAAAATGTGAAAGCTGCAATGCTTAGAAAAAGTGAACTAACTTTGAATTTTGCAATAGATATGTGTCGCATTAGTGAAATGGCCAATGAACAAATGGAGAAAATTGAAGAAGTCTGATGACTATGAAGAAATCAAAACATTTTATAAAGAGAAGACAGCGAAGCATGAATACAATCAAAGTAGAAGATCAATGAAGTGTAACAATACAGCAAATATAACGTGCAAATATTGTGGCAGAAGTCACGGAAAGGGGGCTCGATTCTGCCTTGCATATGGTGTGTTGTGTAACGCTTGCCATAAAAAAAATCACTTTGCTGCTGTTTGTAAACAAACTAATTGAAATCTCTACTTTGCTAATAATTATGTCAATAAATCAAGCGACTCAGCTTATAATTTTGACTGTTGGAAGTATTCAGTCTAAAGGTGTTCGCTGGTTTGTTAATTTGAAATTACATGCGAAAGGTGGTCGAAAACCAGTTTTGTTTAAATGTATGTTCGATGCAGCTCAACCAGTAATGTGATAAGCTTCAAGGATTGTTGTAAGGTCCTAGGCACAAAAAATCCAGCTTTACAAGAAAGTAGTGCAACGCTGAAGTTTTATGATGATAGCTTGCTGAAGCCGATTGGTCAATGTAACTTTCTATGCCAACACAACGGTAAGAATTACAATTTTTTTTTCAGTGTTGTGGAAAGAGACCCACATCCGTTGCTTTCAGCTCAGACTTGTGAAGAGTTGAAACTTTTGCAGGTCAATGTACCTCAAACTCAAGGTACTGTACAATCTATTCTAGCCAAACATCATGAAAACTATTTAACTGTTGATGATATTTCACAAAGTACGCTGATGTTTTTGAAGGTCTAGGTTATTTTCCGGGTGAATATCATCTAGAAATAGATACTAAAGCTCTACCAGTAAAGCATCAACCTCGTAGAATTGCCTTTGCAGAGCGCAATGATCTTATGAATATACTTAAGGAATTAGAGAATAGAGGGTAATTGCTAAAGTTACCACGCCTACCGACTGGATTAGCAATATGGTAGCAGTTAAAAAACAAAATAATGCTTTAAAACGTTCTCATCATCCTATTCCAAATATTGAAGATGTTTTACCTGATTTATCTAATGCAAAAATTGTTTTTGTTCTTGATGCAAACGATGGATTCTGGCAAATCATACTTGACGAACAAAGTAGCTATTTAACTACTTTTATAACTCCATTTTCTAGATACAGATGGAAACGCATGCCGTTTGAAATTTCGACAGCTCCGGAAGAATTTCAAAGGCGACTGAATGAAGTACTGGAAGTTCTCGGAGATATACGATGTATTGCCGATGATATACTTGTTGCTGGAAGTGGAAACACATATAAAGAAGCGGTAGGAAATCATGATCAGAAGGTAATAAAACTATTTGAAAGGGCAAGGAGCAGAAATTTGAAATTGAACAAAAGTAAAATCAAGTTCAAACTGTAATCCGTTCCATATCTAGGTTATTTATTGACTGATAAAGGTCTTCCACCAGATCCACGGGAGATTCAAGGTGTTATTGAAATGCCTAAACCAATAAATGTACAACAGGTACAATGTGTTGTAGGATTTGTTAATTATCTTGCCAAATTTCTTCCAGACCTATCAGAAATTTGTGAGCCTCTTCGTAGATTAACGTACAAAAATGTTAAGTGGAAATGGCTGAGAGTACATGATGATGCGTTTGAAAATATCAAAACGTTAGCAACAACTGCACCAATTCTACTACAGCATTATGATATTTCAAAAGAGGTAACCTCACAATGTGATGCGGGTGAAGTCGCTCTGTTACAAGAAGGTAAGCCTGTTACTTTTGCCCCGCGTTCGTTAACGAAAACAGAGCGTCGTTACGCACAAATTGAAAAAGAATGTTTGGCAATCGTGTTTGGATGCGAACGATTTGATCATTATATTTTTGGTCGATAAGTGACTGTGGAAAGTGAATCATAAAACGATAGATGCTATTTTCCGGAAATCCTTGTTAGCAGCACTCAAACGATTACGGCGAATGCCGCTTAGACTGCAAAAGTACAATTTGTACAAATCCAGTACAAGCCTGGAAGAGAAATGCATATAGCAGATACACTCAATAGGTTTTGCACAAATGATAATATACCACAACCTGCAAAAGACAGTTTTGAAATTTTTCAACGTCGCGAAGAAAAAAACTTGATAAATTTTGCCGATTATGCATATGTCACAGATGAACGACAAACAGATTCGGAATCATAACCAGAATGATAAGCAATTAGAGTTGGCTGTCCAGAAACAAAAGGTGAAGTTTATGATTGCCTAAAAAAATTCTGCAATTATAAAGATGAACTGGGCTACCAAAACAATGTTTTGTACAAAAGCCATAGAATAGTAAATTCGGCAGACATGGCAAATTTTAGCAGACATGGCAAACCAGTCAGTGATCTCCGACAATGGTCCACAATTTGCAAATGCTGAATTTCAAGAATTTGCCAGAAGTTGGGAATTTCTGCATCGAACGTCATCTCCGCTGCATAGCAAGTCGAACGGTAAAGCCGAATCAGCCGTCAAGATAGCAAAGAATCTAATTAGGAAGGCACGTAGAGACTGTTCAGATGTATATAAAGCTACACTCGAATGGCGAAATACGCCAACAGATGATATGGACAGTTCTCCTAGTCAAAGACTAATGTCCCGTCGCACACGATGTTTTCTTCCAATATCGAATAAAATGCTTGCGCCGAAAGTTGAGAGAAATGTCAAATCGAAAATTGAGCAGAGACGGGCAAGATCTAAGAAATATTACGATCGTGGCACAAAACAACTTTCGAAGCTTCACAAAAGGCAATAAATCGTTCAGATGAAGCGGAATCGAGCGAGAGACCGGAAGCTTTACAAAGGGCAATAAATCGTTCAGATGAAGCGGAATCGAGCGAGAGACAGGAAGCTTTACAAAGGGCAATAAATCGTTCAGATGAAGCGGAATCGAGCGAGAGACCGGTGACTCCGAATTTCAGTCAACGCAGACCACGAACTAGAATCATTCGTACTACGTTTCGTGAACACTTATGTAATAATACTTTTTATGAAAAGGGGGTTGTTACGATATACCCTATAGCGCCACCCATGTTTCATGTCCTTGGTTATTCTTATAAAACGTGGTAGCCTTATTGCAACTGTTCTGTACGGTACTTTTTATGTTCACTGTTAACATAAGTTGGTGATGTCGAGTCATGCATTGAATTGCTTGTCATATGCGTAATGATAAAGTTTTTATTTACGTTTACAAGTTCCTTTTAACACATCACAAACACATGAGAGCAAATTGAATATTCAATCCCACGAAAATAGGACATTTGATATTTCAGAACGTCATCTGAGGATGTAAAATTTTCAACGCAAAAAGAAGGACAAATCCGTGAAAATAGAGGACGTATGGTCACCCCTATCTTATTTCAATTTTCTTCTGAAAAATAACAACTAGGACTTATTTAGGGGGATGTCTTATATTTTCATTTACCGAAAATAAACCTACAAGGTAGAGATTTGCGAGTTTTTGAAATATACAAAATATGATACCGGTATTCATTTACTTATAACACGTTTTATATCCAAGACAACTGCAAAACAACTTAAAACGTATAAGAGAGATTTCTTGCTATCGACTAGGTAAAAATGTCTCGTTATTGACTAGGTCTTATTTATGGGAGGGCAATATATTAAAATCAGCTTTAAAAATCCAGCTTAGATCTCATTTTCGGGTAGGTCTTATTTTCGGGAAAACACGGTAGTATCGCAACTTTGTGACAGCAATTCTCAAAGTGTGCTGTCTTGCCCCACTGGGGATAGGGGGAATACACATAGAAACAGACATGTAAGCTACTTTTAAAATAACTTTAGTAGTCAGGTACATGTAGTCATAAATTCCAAATATTAGCCATAAGATGTCAGCCAGTTTCAAATTGCGCAATTTTGAAAATTTACAATATACCAATGAACTGTCAATAAAGTTTTTCAACAACTCTGGAATATACGACAAATTACTGTTGGTCCGTAATTACTGTGTCAATGAATATCGAAAATTCAAATGAAATATTTAAATACAATTTACTTGATTATTCTTTGGTTTTGTTTGCTTATTCGTATTTTCGATCTTTATCTTTTGATGCAATGAAAAACTGTCGAAACAAGCAGTGTTCTGTAAAATAGACATGTAGTGTAAGCTAGTTGCATCCAACCGGATTTTCAGGCTAATAAAACGATTTTCAGAGCCTATATTACTAATCGATTTTTTGGGGTCGCCTTATTGGGTAGCTAAACCAAATCTATTTACCTTTCTAGGTGGTCTATGTTTTAGCATAAGCTTCAGGCATAATCATTTCTGAATTAATGTATTTATGTATTCAACGACATACAGCCTTTCAATCATAGCTAATGTTTTTTGTTATTTCGTATATATATATATATACGCATAAAAACGCGATATAAAAATTGGTTTGGCTAGTTATATAAAGCTAGTTTGTCATATATTTAAAAAAGGACCAGAATTTCATTCCAGTTTCTTATCGCAGGGGTGTAATCGAGTATGGCTCAGAGTTAACGAAGCAAATACCGCGAACACAATACCTCGAGCAAAGTCAGTATTCTAATGATTCTGGATCAGAATGAAAAGCTAAATAAATTGGAAATATCAGGTCTAAATTTATCCGATACAAATACCAATACAGGAAAATTGGCCGATATTGTCAATAACGATACCCGATAACGATACATTGGTACATCTTTATTCAGAATCCTGTTTCTACACTCATGGGTGTGGACGAAAATGGCTCAGAATTAAGGAGGTAACAGATACCACGAACATGATAACTCAACACAAAAAAATTAATTTCAACATCCATATTTTAACTTCTTTTTCAAAAGCTCCTGAATCAGATAAAAAAAAAATGCATCAGAAATATTGGTTCTACATTTAGCCCATACCGATATAAATATTTTTTTATTGCTGATATCCAATATATCTCTAAAATTTACCGCTTATAATTATTAATGGGACGATTACTATGACTGCTAACAAGGTAGGAAGGGCATATATACACACTATGTGGGATGTACGGTTATATATGTTGATACACTTGGAAAATTGGATGTATATGATTTATATAGTATCGTTTTTATAAATTTTATTTTAGTGACGATACGGAAAGTACGACTATGGGAGATTTACGGTTATGTATTATAAACACACTTGGTTGGATCGACTCATCGTCATTGAGAATTTCGTGTGTTTCTAGTTTGGAACACTTATGAACATAAACGGCATAAACTGATCATTACCAGGGATTGTAGACTATGGTAGATTCGTAGATTCCGGATACATTGATACGCTTTGTCGGATTCACTCATCTAATATTGTACTCGGGATCGCGTGATCTACCATTTGGGGTAAAAACGGATTTGATTGAGCCAAAATGCTATGCAGATTTATTACGGACAATGATATCAATGAGGAAGGAAATACTGATATAAAACAGAAAAAATATTGCCACGCCAGTATCTGTAATCTGTGGTCTAGATTCTTTAGAAAAGTGATTTATAACACCAAAAACTACATATATTACTTATTTAGAAGAATGTGTTACTGTATTATATTGTACCTTATTATGCAATCTGCAAGTGAACCCTTTACTTCCATTTCTTCTCGCTATTTCCACCTAAAAATATAAGGCAATTTGAAAAAAATACTGCTTCACTAACAAATTTGGTGATTTAATTGACAAATACTAAGGAATTAAAGTACGCAATGTTTATGTAGAATCGTCACATTTGTTTATGGAAATCAATGGATATCTAAAAGTCGAATAAAATATTTAAATATTGTTTACCTGTATCGTAGATTTCCTCAATTTCGTCTATTTCCTTTTAACTCCATATTTCATGCTTCTGCATCTAAAAAGCAAAGATATTAATATTAAGCTTTCGCATAACACTATGATTTCTGCCTGACAGTACTAAACTAAATCTATATACAATAGATAAAATATCACAAAGTTAGAAAAAACCTTGGCATTTGGCCTCGGCCTCGGTTCGTCTTAGTCTTAAGAAAGATATGTATTAAATTTATATCAAGCTTGTCATGTATAGATAGCGTAAAGACGTACTTCAAGTATCGCGTTTAAATTGTTTTCGTTGCGTTGTTTTGGTATTGATATAGTCATACATAGGCAAAGTACGACTCGCGGACCCAATCCGACCGTTGTTTAATTCAATCTGGCCCATATGATAATGCCACAACCAAACTGAAACTAATTTTTGATGTTTTAGATAAAAATAACTTTTCAAGGAATTTGTTAAGATTGCGGGTGAATTTAGTTTTGGTACGAGGCTTATTGTACAAAACTAAAAGAATTGCGTTTGAGACTGGTAGGTCACGTGCGCAACGACGCGATCAGCTAGGCTAGAGCTACTCAACTATTTTTACCGAAGATCCGCGTACAAAACTTTAAAAATATCTGGGTCAGGTCTTTTCAGAAATTATATTTCCACATCTTTAAACGCCACCTTTTTTGGCCGACCGATGGTTATTCGCTAATCAATATTGTTTATTAGGGTGTTATATTTCTTTTCATATTATATTTAAATTTATAAATGAAACTTCAAAAGTGGGGCAGGCTAATGATCCGAAATAGAGAATTAGGCATGGTCCAAATTGAATACCCGAAAGATCCGGATTTGGGGACTGTCCGTATTAGCCAAGTGAATATCCCCATGCCCATAGCTTTCAGCGTACTCCCGTAGTATGTGAACCAAGATGGCGGACACCGGAACGTACATGAATACCAGTTAAGATTGGGTTAAACCATAATTTGGCTAGCCCCCAAACTTATAATAGAAGTATAATAAGAAAAATTGGAACAAATTATGGCCTAATCATAACCGGGTACACATCCTACGTTCCGATGTCCGCCATATTGGTTTGCATACTACAGAAGTACCGGTTTAAGTCTCTTTACACAACTTGATATAAAATAGGCGAACAACATTGGTTACACACACTTCTGGACTTATAAATCACAAAACACTAACTTATTCCTGTGATCCGATTTATTTTTATGTATTAGGTTACAAATTCCAATTTTTTTACTATCGATAGAGGAAAATAATATAACATCAGTAAAAGCATGGGTTATCAAGTACATTTCACTCACCTGAATATTGCTCCGAAGGTAACAAGAAAATCCATTGATCATCCTACGACAAAATTTATCGGCACACTGTTGTGACTGAAGCGATGTGTCTCGTGGATTCCGCGCGAAATATTTGACGAAAACGCCAAGTAATCTTTTGTAATCAAATAATTACTCCGATTACTCCAGGTTAACTCTGAATCGCCACGAGCCTCTTAATTTACTTAATTTACCGAATGTGAATGGTAGTCGGTATTTGCTCCACACTAATTGTAACCGTCATAATTTCTAGCTTCCAGTAAATTATCCGCCAAACAAAAAAGTTCGAGGCATAGTACCACAGCCTTAATCTCGATTCTATGCGAGGTATCTAAAATTGACTTGTCAATACGACTGCAGACCGATGACAACAACTGATAATGTTTAGATTCAGAGTCAATCTCTTACAAACAATCGCACAATAAACCCGTTCTGACTGCATTAAAAAACGTTGCTAATGTTAACCCGGTAGAGTAGCAATGCATTGAGTGGCTAGAATAAAGCCTTAAAATACTTTTGATTGTTTCGTTTGGTGAAAATCGATCATGATACAAGTACTACCGTACGAGACAACCCTCAAGTACACGACATCTTGGCGCTTGAAATCGTCGTACCCGAGTATATATGTCAATATGAGAGCGTTTTCGAAATATCTTGAAAATTTGCCTGTTATCCCCTTTTCCCGGGAAAATATAACCTTTTATGATGCATTTTATTTTCTGGATGTTTGACGCAGCTATGACATCGAGCGCACATTATCTAACCTCCGGCGCGGTGACTGGCGCATGCCGGTAAGCTTCAGGACAACGCTTACCATCGCACCTCAGATTATCCTCCATGGGGTCGTAGGTTCAATTCCCGCCAGGGATTGTTATGTTCCAAATGTTTGTTGGATTCCGTAGGGCAATAATTGCAAGTCAATGGCGAGCCGCACATATTTTTAGAAAATTGGAAATCGAACGTAAAAGTTTAAAGGCACATACGATTGGAGTATTCATCCTGGAAACTTTTGATGACTGAAATCCCCCTGCGCTGTTCTTGCTCCCCTCATGACCCATCTCCACACCACCCTCTTTCACTCTCACACTTCTAACTGCTTCCATAAACTCTATCCCCTAACACACTCCCAACCGCCTCCTTGCCGCATATGTTTTCCCCTTTCCCTAAAAACTTGGATCCCGCGAAATCTAGAATAGAAAAAGAGGCAATCGGATATGGTGTATGGCAAAAAAGAACAGGAAAACCCGAAAACGACATAAGGAACTACACTCGATCAAAGATTATACCAACCCGCCATCTTAAAACGCATTTGCGTCAACGCAGCACGTTGTTGGAAGAGAATTAGGGACATTCATAACATTTGACCTGTTGCGATTTGATGCAAATAGAGCAAAAGACTGCGATTTCTTGCTTTGAACGCTGACGCGACTAGGTCTGGATTGCAATGTTTCTTATGAATACTGAAATGTCACTGTGTTTCGTAGCGGGAACTATATTAAATAGTATATTAAATATATACTATTTAAAAAAACGAAATGTATTCTGAGGCATTATGTCATTTGAGTAAAATAACGCGTTGAAATGGTTGGTATGATTGCTTATAGAATACATGTGCAGATGGTAGCAGCTCAAAAAGTATGCCAAAGTGAAATAAAGTTATCGTATTTACTTCTGCAAATGTTATAAAGTAAGATTGGTTATATCAGTGATCATTAATAATGGCAGACTTATGTTGTAAAAGAATATCACATTTTTTCAGATGTTCACGATTTGAATACCGATAATTACAACAGAATGTATGCTAGAGCTCATACAACAGTACTCATAGTTGCTGCATATTTGTACATGGATCATATGGCTGAAATACAAATCACCTTTCTTAAAAAGACTTGTATCTGAATGCTGAGAATTTCTCATTCCCATTTATAAGAAGTTACGGACAGAAGTTTCATTTCATTGAAATAGCAATCACAAAAAAACACCATATGTAGAAGATCTGTATCTGATTTCAGGGAACCTCTCAATCCCAATTATGAAAAATTACAAACGGCAGTTTGTGGTCAAATATATACTTTTGCTATATTGCAAGATGCGGATATATGAACTAATATTACAACAATAATTGTATGCTTCAAAACTTTTGAATTTCAAGTGGAAACATGCAAAAATAAACGTAGGGCTACCAGGCTGAGTTGTTCTTTATCGAGCATAACATATACATGATGTCTGGCTTGATCGGTGGTCTTGGCTCATTGCCATATTCATAATAGGGATGATGTGATTTTGTAAGGTAGCAAACGGGTCCCCCAACTGTCATCTCCGTGGCGAAATGGATAGCCAGAGGTTCTGGGTTCTAGTCCCAGCAGAGATGCTTTTTGGGCTTAAAAGGTGGGTCTGTGGTGGCCGAACAATCTGCTATTCTTATTTTTTTTTTAAATTTGATTTTCTCCAAGTTCGGAGCCCGATTCGCAATCAAAATTTGATGACCACTGACTTCAGAATTTGCGCAATTCGCTAGTCGTTAACATAAAACGATACTCTTGCTTCTCTGAAACGCTCGCTTTCAGAGTTCACACCAAATTTGACAGATGAGAAAACAACTAATTTATTTTAATATGCGTGGAAATTCTCATAAAAAACCGTCTGGTAGACGATGCGCTTCAATTTCAAGTGCTGCATTTTTGAAATCATGCTTTGCGTAAAATACGCTCATGATTGGTTAGTTAACGACTTAACATAAGAGTCAATACAAAATATTTGGGGATAAATAGGGGGTTTGATTGATATCTCTCTACGCATGCGTTACAATGGCGACGTCATGTAATGTTCCAACGCGCAATTACCAACAATACTACTATAACTAGCGAAGTGTTTGATTAGATAGTGTCGCTTGATATTGTACTCTTTTAATACTGCTAATGTTGTCAAAATCAGACAAACTACATCTTGATTGTGTAGAACAATCAGAACTTCCACCACTTCATAATCAATCTTAATTTCTGTGCTGGTAAACATTTCTCTATAACTTTGAACAAAACACGGCGCCAGTTAAGTAATATCTTGGTAATGAATCATTGCCGAACGTAGTTTCATATCGCAAAGCTAATTCACGAATGCTGGTAGTGTCGTTACAAATGATAAAAAGCATTTGGAAAACGATGGGATATGAAGTCGGGTTACATAAAATAGTTCCCGCGGGTCTTATTGTGGTATGCATCCGCCAGCTTTTTTATATACAGCCGTTGAGAAGTGTTTAATTGCAGATGGCCAACGTGGTGGGGGTATTTTGTCTGGCATCGGCACTTCAGAACCTCTGGATTCGACCTGGCTGAATGTTATGCAAATTGATATGCGTTTGGGGAGATCTTCATACCACGAACAAACTCCAAATTTAGGATAGGTCCGAGGCCATCCTCCACCGACAAGACCCGATGACATTTAGCCTACGTGGCGTCGATCGTTTCGTATTAGCGCTGTGTCCGGTGCCTAAGCAAAATGCGCCTCCATTTGCCTCATTTTCCCGACAATATACACAAGTGGCATCATTTATGTAGGCGCCATATTCTTATTTTATACCACTGGAGTTGCTATAGAGCAACTTCCCTTTTAGCTGATTTTTCAGACTGCCGTCAGTATTTAATTGGATCTCCGCTATATCTGTCTGTTTGTCCAGCTGTATCGCCCAAATGGCTGGACAGATCTGGATGAAAGTTTCAACGTGGGTTATCCTCCCACCATAATATTATGAGTTTCAACCCAAATTTAGGATTGATGTTTCGTTACCATGGTAGCAGCAAAATACGCGCCGATCCGTTTTTTCCACCCTTCTCGTAATATTTCAAACAAAACGCACTTGATCTCGATAGCTCATGAACTTCGGAAGCCTTAGGAATTATAGTGAACGTGTTTTTATGATTAGTCACATTAAAACCGACGAGACGTGCAGCGATCAAAATAAACTCGCAGTTTTTGTAACCCTGTCTCTGCCATACGATGTCGTTACAGATTGTTATTTTTACTGAGCGATGGACGAGTTGTCAATGAATCAGAAAGTTGTCATCAGAAATAAAAAAAGCATTTTTCTTGTTTCTACATTGTCTTTATTTCATCTGTAATAAGTCAATATTATACTGATGCTGTTTTTTTTCTCCTATTAAAATACTGGAAATGCATTTGTATTTACAATAATCTAATATTTGCAAGCATTCCGTTTCAAGTTTAAATCTGAATAAAGCATGTCTGGAAGCAAAAAGCACAAGAAATTATACAGCGGAAAAGCTAATTATATACAATATGCAAAGAAAAGACAATTGAGGCAAAAAGTCAAATAATCAACGAAATAAGCGTTTAAGATAACATTATATATAATATATGTGTTGAGGGATACTATGCCGAATTGCTTATCCTTATTTAGAGGTTTCTTACACTACTAAATAAAAATTAGATATCGTTTGCAACGAATCTTGAGCGAGATGAAGGCAAGAGATTATAACAGTCATTGGATAAAACCTTATTCGACAATAAACAAGCTTTGTGAAGTTCATTTTCAATGAGCTGTCCATAGAAACGGAATAATTCATTATTTGAATTCTACGCATCAACCGACTGATGTGAATGAAACGTGGTGATTACATGTGATTTTGATGGACAGTTCAGGTTTGAGATAAATAAAAACTCGAGCAAATGATTGAAGTGACAGTATCAAGTAAGATAAAAAATTTGAACAGGTAAGGTAACATTTTTCACTTTGTCATTTCTTTGAATATTTGTATTGAAAACTGCACCATATACCTATCTGCACATATGGCGAAGCTTGCACAACCATACATGACACAAGATATATATACACTGTACTAACGATACACATGTTCCTCTATCAAAAATGGCAACTAATTGGAAATTGTACCGTTTGCAGGGAAGTTGATTTTAGAGTATAATAAGTTTTGTTCTGGGATTAGAATAGATAAAACTGATTTTATCGTAGAAATACTGATTCCGTTTTCCGCTTCTGGCGAATGTATAAGATGAAACCTTTTGTGAAACTGTGGTCCATCAAAAGTTTTAGCATACAGAAATCCTTCTTCCGACAAAGTTAGTTGGTCGTTTTGAAAAGCAGTCTTAAGTAAGAAAGTTCACTTGCGACTAAATAATTTGAAGAGTTCGCTTTTTTTCAACCTTGTCTAAACGCTGACTGTATCACGATACCGATGATGCCTTTTACTGCAACGGACTTTGTACCTTTAGCAACATCTCTGAAAAAAATTAAAGCTGATAAATTTCGTAGCACATAGTTTTTATAATTGAAGATGTTATATGTTGTGCTCCCGCATAGCGATATCTGAAATTGAATGCAATTCTTCTGCTATTTTTTTTTTTATACAAATTTGGGTAAAAAAACTCACAAAGCGAGTCATGATAAAACATTTTTGTGCCAAATTTATCACTTATTACAGAATGTACAAAGTAGGGGTTTTCTATCAATCTAGGTGAATTATAAATTCAATAAATATATATATAATCTCCACCACACCGGCCTTAAAACAGCAGGACAGTAAAGTTTTATATTTAGATTCGAGGACGTGGAATGTGGCGGATTACTTTGTAACGGACCAAAATTCATTCTTTACACAAAAAGTATATGAATCTGCAACCAACAATCATAAAATATTCGGTGTTTTTGCGAACGTGCGATAATAACAAGACTTACTCTCTAATAGCGATGCAGTACAATTCACTTAGGGTCTCATGCATTGCCCTGCTTAACCAGTGATTCATTGCTATCATATCCAACGAATCTTTGATGTTTTTCGCGTCTAAATCAATTGAAATTCTATCATATGAAGCAGAACACTCAGTCATAACGAGAGGCGATGTCTTGCTGTCAATTTCTGAAACAAAGTTTTAACCAGAATCGTCATATGATAATTAGATGGATGCAATGTTGCAAATAGAAAAACGGTTGACTATTATTTACAGATCCTCACAATCAATTTACGCTGGATCACTGGACGCTGTGTCCTAAAATCAGTTCATAGTAATAAAAATGTATTATAATTAATATGAGAAAGACTTTTTTGTGAGATTCGCTCGATATAAGGGCGCATTTCCTCGCTCCCATTTTGAAGTAAACCAGACTTCGACGTAATGTGAGCAATTCAAAAGTTACCAAAGTCATTAGTGTTAGAAAAAAATAAATACTCTAACGCAGTGGTTTTTAAACTGGGAATGCGGGCCCCCCTTGGGGGGCGCGAAATGCTTTAAGGGGGGACGCAAGAGCTCACAAGATGAAATCATAAATGTCCATGTAACGGCTCTTGAAACGGTCTCAGCGTTCGTTAAAAATACCGGCTTTTTCGCGGTATAATAAATTTTTCTATTCAATCTATGACAACTACAAGAATTCGAAATGTCTCTCTACTTTAATTCATTTGTGTTCAGGTAACTCGCGGTTGCGGCGACTCACGACAAAATAAACTCATTACCGATAATAATGTGGACATAATAATGTGTGATCGCCCAATTATATTCAGTTTTGATATATTTTGTTCTGCGATAAAATACCACGGAATAAAATTTATTTCAAGTCGGTAGTTTTAGAACATTGCAGGTGTGCCGCAGGCACAAGGAATTCATGAGATTTGCAATGTCTAAGAAAATGTTTTCAATAGCGGTCCAACAAATCTCATGGTGTTTTCCGTTTTATTTTTAGTATTTTATAATGCCGCTTTTTCAGTCAAGAAATTTTTGGTTGCGGATTCACCTCTTTATTCTATCTTTAGCATCTCGTCGCTGATGATTGTATAATTAAAACTCGTTTTCCTCGCAGGTGTCATGGTTCCATGTGAGATCAAAAAATAATAATTGTCATCGTCTTCGCGGCGCAAAAATATTTCAAAGAAAATTTCTGATTTAGGGAGAATAAACACCGAAAGGATTTTTACGGCTTAACTAACACGTCACGATGACGTAAACAATCGAGATTTATGCAAAATGCAATTGCAAACGTCATTCATTTTTCAGCGGTCAAGGCCCGGGAAAACGTTCACATGCATAATAACTATTATAAATTTAACTGCTTTCTTTATGCTGAAAATGTACATAAATTCATTTGCACTTCTCCATGTTGTAAACTGTATTTTTGTACCTGGTGGTTGTCCAAAGGTGGTGAATTTAGAAGACGTTAGGCAAGCCAAGAAGTCTGTAATTGTTGTGTATTTTTAACACACAGTAAATAATTTATGCATTTGCTCAGTAGTGATGAAGTAAACGATTGATTGAAATTTTACGTGTCTTATGTTAACGTTCAAGCAGAAATACATTAAAGCGCAAAATGTGTACGTTTATTGCGTGTTTAGTTTTACTTAAAACTTAGTTTGACTTTACCAGGTATTGCAAACTGAGCGGAAAAAGGAGATTGTATGATGACAAATATTTGAGTATGGCTTTATACATACGACAGTAAATGGGGCCATGAGACCAACACTCTTACAGCGCCATCTTGAATTAAAAAGAAACCTGTCCATCACAAATGTATTTTTTCATAGAAAAAAGCGCGGGCGCGAAATAAGTAAAAATTTTCAAAGGTTGGCGCGGCTCAGAAAGTTCAAGAACCACTGCTCTAACGAGTATTACCAACAATAATAATCAAGATCTGACACTATTTGATCGCTTACTTGGAAATAACACAGTCATGTTAATAGTTGAGTTTACAGCATGAATGGTGAAATTCCCTTCCATTGGATATTTGAAGTCAGGAACGTCTCTAAACATAAATGAAAAAATAGGCTATTAGCAATCTTAATGCATTGATAAAATATTAACACGGAACACGATATCTATAATACTCGATAATATTTATTCTCCCTATTTACAGGTACACGTGATGGAGTTAAATGTCAAAGTATATAGTATGTTCAAAAAAACTCTCACTTTAATTAAAAGATGTTAGTTTGGTTTATAGCGACTTGAATTTATTGATTCAGCTCCGGATATTTGTTCTTGTACATTTACACTAATTAAGGCAAAGACAAGATATTTGGAAAGAAGTTTAATCGAATCGAAGTTATCTATTAGGTTAAGTTCATTAGTAATACTAATTTGTAATTAAGTAATTAGTAATTAAGTAATTAGTAATTAAGTAATACTAATTAGTAATTGAATCACATAGGTGTGCTGACTACATCTTTGCAATTTTTACCTCAAATAAAATATCATTAATCATATGTCAAATATGTATGATATAAAAACATCGAAATTAAATTATCAAATTTTCAGTTATTACTAATTGACATTAAAAAGTTGTTGTCTGCTTCAAAGAGTTTCTAAGAAGGTCAAGCAATGAATTGAACTACCAATATCGTGACGTGTCCTATACTCACGTTCTTGTTATCAATGACGTCATATATCCAGTAATAAAACCTTCTTCGCTTGTAAATCTTATCCGGATTGCGTCTTCTCCTATTTCATAATACCCTTGAGCACCGTACTCTGCAGAAGATACATGACCAATATACGTGCTGTAAAATGATAAGATAATCAAAATCTGATAACATATTAATCCTTGCAGTTTCTGCATTTTGTTGACCTAAAATGTTTTATGAATTGTTTCAAGCGAAATCTATCTCACTGTTATGTTTTATTTTTATGCGGTTCATGAAAATTTTCTATTTGCTTTAAATTTTATTGGCAATCTATTTTAGCGCTGTCAAGTTCTTTATGATCCACTTTATAAGTATCACAGATATATGCGTCAACACAACTGCAGAGCATTTTTTGTTGCAGAACTCATAGTTTAATATCTCTGCGTTATAGTGTTATTCACAGGAAAGGCTTTCACGCGAACCGTTAGTCTCAAGTGTTATGCTCTATGCAACCATTTTTCCAAAGCCCCATCTCTATTCCACCCCAGAAAAAAATCCGTCAAATTTTATCTACATGCATTTATTATGCTTGAAAGTCGATAACTGCACAAAAGTTTTTTTCCGAAGACATCTCTCCAAACACGCTTATTCTTAAAGTACGAAAAGCTATATACGATACATGAATCTACGGCTCAAGATTATTTATACGGTCTGATATTAAGTTATATTAATATTGTGTTTTGTCACGATATTCTCATGTACCTACAACGTAGCCGCAAAGGACGATAGTTCCAAATATATGTAAACCAACTATCCAACGTTGTTTTCCCCGTAAATTCCAGAGTGAGATTCTGAGTAAGTTTCCACTTACTTGTTCAACTTGTAACTCATTTTCATGGGCGGGTGGATTAAACTTGCTTCAAATGGTGGCACTTCCATTCCAAGTATGTAATCCAGAACATCATCGTTAGCTAAAAAAAAAGTCAATTAAGTGTTAATAAAAAACAGTGGTTTTGAGTCGAATATTTTCACACACTTTCTCTGAAATGGGGCCAAAATTATTTTTATGGACATGGTGAAACCACAAGAAAAAAAAAATAATAAAGATTTATACTATGTTTTCGGGAGTAAATACTCTTAGAGTTTGAAGCAATCTTTGCATTTTTTGGTAATACACACGTCAATTTTTTTTTCTATGTATCCCTTATAAAAGTTCAAATTAGCACTTGGTTTAACCTTTAAATCAATTGTATATTTGGTTTAGAATACCTTAAAACTGCTTCCTCATCTACTCTTGAATAATTGAAAGATTTTGCATTACGTTATTCATTCATGCTTGACGTATTACAACGTTATACAACCCCACATACTTTGAGCTACTTAAGGCTTAAAGGCAGCGTTTTCCAAAAGAGGGTTACGAACCAAAACTGGCTCGCCTGAAAATTTTCTTGGGTCGCATGTTTTCAGCGAAAAGCTAAAAATTACTTATTTTATTTTCTTATTAATTTTATTTTTATCTTTATTTTTTTCATATTTGATTTTGGTTATGTGGGAGGCATCACAGCGCAAAAGGCATCACGTATCAGCAACTATTTTGCTAGAGTAAAGCTACGCCAAGATTTCATAAAATTGCCGATGGCAAACGAGCGCAGGTTGCTTACTTTGTGATAATTTCTAGGAAAATAAACGTTGTGTGAAAAGGATTGTTTTAGATTAGTCATTTCTTTTTGCGGTCATAAAAGTATTTCATGTCATTTAATATATGACCATATATATATCTTTGGGTTGCGAGATTTTACAATAATAGTATTCTAAATAATTCAGATCGCTTGAAAACCACTGGTGTGATGTATTTGTTATCTTAACAAAATTGGCATACAGGCTGAATATTATCAAAGTTTACAAGCTCTCATACTTACTTGGAATCCAGTCGTTGTCCATTGAAAAAGCATTTGTAGAACATAACATAAGAATAGAAAATATCAAAGTCCTCATGTTATACTAGTAAGCTCTATTATCCTAATTATCATAAAATATACGTGTCTGGTGTAAAACAATTCAACATTCGGTTTTCAGTAAAGTGTTATTTTTAGTATTCTTTAGTTTTTTCGATCAAGATTCCGTTTCACGAACTATCAATTTTAATTCACATTGCTTAACTTACAATAATATATAAGATTTTGCAAATTTAAAAAAAAAAAAAAATATCAAACCACGAAATTCTCGAAGGTGTTAACAGGACATGCATTTTCCAGCCTCAAGATTCCAATTTTAATTCTTATAATGACGGCTATTTCTTATAGTTATACATTCTACGCTACTGCTTTACAAAGAACAATCTATACTGAAGCTTGCAAATTTATTCTTGCTGTGTCAAATAAACCTCCATGATACAACCCCTTCTGAAAACCTTGGTAATGCCTTCCACAAGTTGTTAATTCCAGTTGTATGCAATACACTCAAACCGCGTCAATAGAAACACAATGTATTCGGTTGAAAAACAATTTGTTTTCGCTATAAAAGTTGCATTTAACAGCCTGGTACGAGAAAACTAAATATGCCTCCTGGCAATGATTGCCCGTTTGATACTGTGAATTACTAAAATGCTTTCGCTTTCAATAATAATTTATCAAGGCAGGGCAATGAACCCTACCCTTTATTTATGCAAATATTTGGACATGACGAACTTTCATGACCAGAAATTTATTTTAATCAAGTGTCACATGAAATGAAATATGTAACAAGGTATCTCGATCGTATCACAGCTTCAGAAGGATATTTGCCTTGTCATCGCTTTTCATCCAACTCAAGTGCGAAGCTTCGAATCCAAAGAGAGATGGTTTCATGTAAATTATTGCTCGCACACTAATGTGTCAAAGTGACTCACGTAACCACCGGTTACCACTGTATTTAAACAAGAAAAATTTTGTTGAATTCCCAAATTTTATATTTCCATTATTTATCCATATATATATATATGTATATTGTTATTAATGGCTACGAGTCTAGTATTTGATACTATAATCCAGCATTACTGACTTACTTATGAGAGCTGTGGAATTAAAGATTGATACCGCCAAGATGAATTTATTGTTGAATAAAGACATCTTTTATAGATTCATAGAGATACTAGTACCCAGGCCTCTGTTTATAGGGCGTGTGGGTATCACGCAGTCACGTTTATGAGCAAGATATCGAAACAACAGGCTGGGGATGCATTGTATTACAAGTAGTAGTTTTCATAAGCAGTCGTTGTATCTGTTTTCTATGATAGTAGCACTGTTTTCCTAATAATGGTAATGTAAATTATGTGGCCAATGCGGGGTCGCGTTTCATCATTATTGTACAGTCTCAAATTATTATTGGTTTGACCCCAATTGTACACGTTGTTGATTATATTGTGGTGTCCCTAGTACAGTGTTTCCCAACCTATTTTGGTCGCGGACTATTTTCTCACTGTCGAAAATCTTTGCGGACTCAACGTGAGTTTATTGCAACCGTACTATGTGTGAAGAAGTAATAAAACCAAACAAAACAGAATTTTTCCGAATTTTAAAATCGAAAACGCTACGCAATTACGCCTTTGTTAAAGGGGCCGACTTTTTTGGTGTATAAATGACCTTTTTTGTTGCACAATATTCAATCCTTGACAACGACAAGAATTTAAAATGTGTTCCTATTTTAATTTAATTGTGTTCATGGTCACTCGCGGTTGCGTTGACTTATGACGAGATGAAAGCATTACTTCTTTTAAATGACACGGCAATCTGCAAACATAATAATGTGAGAATAGATTGCCCGGTTTTATTTAGTTTTGATATAAATTATTTGCGATCTTGCGAATTTGTTATCGCCGTTAGAAAAATTGTACTATCTGCTATAAATCCTAGAAAGTACAACTTGATTTATTACTTATTAAAAATATAATTAGTATATTAGTAAATAAAAATAAAAAATATTCATCGCCTTGCCTTAATATTAATTTAGATGTGATCATTTTACTCTGCGATTCCCATTTTGTGAATTCGACAAATATGAGCTGTTCGTACAACAGTAAAGCCAGGAGTCGGCAACATTTTGTCGCTCGCAGGCCAAAATAAAAGGTTGCAAGTCACTGGTGGGCCGCGCATATTTTTGGAAAGTTAAAAGCCGGGCGTATGGCCAATGAATCACATTTTTTTATACAGATCAGAAGGTAAATTTTAAGCAGAGCCCGAAGACTTAGCATTTGAATATTGAACCAATTTCACTTATCGTTCAACTTTTCTGCGTTTTGTTGCCATTGAATTCCTAATTATAATGAAGTTATAGGCTCATTCAACGAGTACTTGTGAATTATATACTTGTTAGGTTATGATACAATTTAGTCTAAACGTGCTGCAAAATAAATTCTGTCACGTAAAGAATATAATCGTAAAAACAGCTGTTTTGTTACTATAATTCAGAAAAACGTCGCGGACCTGATTATATTGCTCCGCGGGCCGTAGGTTGCGGACCCTGTAGTAAAGCGAAGAATTCTGAGGGAAATGCCCTGATACGAATACTACGGTAGCACCCGAAATTTTGCAATTTGCAACATGTCTAAAAAAGCGTTTTTAAAAAACTCATGGTGTTTTCAGTTTTATTTTCAATATTTTGTATTGCCGCTTTTCAATTTAGAAAATTTAAGTTGCTACCATTGACACCTACCAGAAAAATTATTCCTCGAACAACAACGACTAAATCCAATCGTTTGATTAAACGACGCGCAAGTGACCTGTTCCGTCACTTGTTACCAAATTTTCGAATAATAAATTGCTATTCTAATAATTGAATATTCGAATATATGCCAAGCCCTACTCATTCAGTATCCAGAAATTATTGACTCGATTAATGTTATATGAATAAACTTGCTTTTTATGTTTTATGTAAATTCTAACGTAAATCGTGGCTGATGGTTAAGTTTCGCAAAAACGTTTGCGGCCCGCAGTGAATTTCTGGCTCGTTGCGGACTCATTCAAACGCTCCGCGGACTCATTTGAGACCGCGGACTCGGGTTGGGAAACACTGCCCTAGTATTTACATTGCTTTACTGAGTAATCGGTCTATATAAAGTTCTATCAGATGTTATGGTTTGAGATTCGAAATATTAATAGGGTATCATTATAAGCGAAAATAGATTAACCTGTGTGCTTTTAATATATAAAATATTTTTTCAGCTGACGAATGTTACGTAGGACCACAATTGTGGACTTCATCCTAATTTATCGTAGTCATGAGTTGTCGCCATGGGAGAGTAGTAGTACTTGCTAGAACTTCTACTTAATACTATTCACCGTTGTCGGAAGAAGTCGCTATTGGCACGGGAATTTTCGCTAGAAGGCTACTACTTTTATTTATTTGAATTTTTGTAGGTTCTAGTCTGTGGAAATCGTTTTTTTTTGTGGGATTACGTAATCAAAAATTGCGCACCATGTTGCGATTACATTTGCGTTAGTCGTGAAGTTTGCGGTACGTTTTGGATTTTGTGTCCATATACTTGAGCATCGCTCTCTTGTTTAATCCGCAATCCATTTTTTTCTGAACCAACGATTATTTCTTATGGATTACTATTATCGTTTAAGATTTTACAATTTTTAAAATTGAAAATCTTCAAAAATCTATGCATTTCGGTTCGATAGTTTCATATTCAACTTTCGATGAGAAACATACTTCGAGTGACGAACGTTGTGGGTATAAACAGTGGAAAAGTTACATTTTCCTGTGTGGTCTGTCTCATTCAAGTCTTATCATATGCGTGCCCTGTCTGTTTTCATAAATATATATTAAGACGAAACGTGTGAATTAATTAGCCGCAGGGAAGATAGTGGTTTTTAAACGAAGTCAACGACCTTGTTTAATCATCAGTCATTTATTTTAAAAATAGCAACCTAGAGAAACGCCATTTCTCGTTTCGAATTTCTTTAGGCTATCGATATATTTTAGGGACTTCGATGACGTTGCTTTGTGAAAGGCTATGGACAAGCGTACGTAGGAGTTACTGTGACTCTTTGTTTTTGCATAGTTTTCCCAGATTGTTTTTGCCTGGATGATGTGTAAGCAAGTACTAATCTTGAGATTTTAACATTTCTTTACTCGAAACCCTATAATCTTTAGGTAACCACGCCACAAATTGAAGATAATTGGTATTACAAACTTTTCAATGCCCTTTTTACCAGGCATTCATTTTGTGATTACGGAGTTTGGGTGTGTATATGGTGTAGTTTTTGTCTATTTCCGTTGTACATACAATATAGTATATTATTGAACACAAACTTTATTTTGAATAAAAACTATTTATTGTAACATCCCGTTGCGTCTTAAATACGTAGTATTCATCCGCTTTATAGTTGCTTAGTTTACAATTTCAAAGTCGACAGTTCAAATGATATGAAAATATAATATATTCAATATATATTTTTTTTATCAAATTCATAATTTCACACTTTTAAAATACATAACAATACTAGACTTGGACATATAGCACTTTAGTCAGAAGGTGGGTTGGAGGCCCGGTCATCACGAGTATATCATTTCAAAAATTAGTAACAAAATTCCGACAAGCTTCGTCACTTTTACCAATATTAGTCATCACCTTCGACACTAAAGCCTGACTCTGCCGTTTGAGTCATGCTCAAATACTTGAATATTGGTATTTTCGCAATAGATGGTGTAAGGTGGTTCATATTGCTATTGTAGACCTCATTCAATTCCAATACAGAACACATTCCTAATAGATAAACTTAACAGTTAATGCAGAGAGTAACAGCTAACGTATATATCTACCACCATGCACGTGTTAAGTACACGAAACATAGTAGTCACCTTCAGCATGAACGGACACGAATCAAATGTTACTATATTACATATGGATGACTGATTTAATACTTGTATTAGTCTTGGTATTTATCATTCATTCCGTAGGTTCACGTTGTGGCGCTCCAAAAGTGTGTGTACCAATACCGAGGTAACTAGTTTTGTTCGCCTATTTTACATCAAGTTGTGTAAAGGGCCTGAA